ATGGAAGATGATGGAGGAATTATTTTCTCAGATGCAGAGATAAGATATTGGATGGTCAATAATCTAGATCTCTCATCACCTTCAAGAGTGGCAATAAAGAGCAGACTTATCTGATGAAAGAAGATGGCGCAGATGCTATTACACTACCCCAATCGACCCGATTAGCGGTACCTCAGAACCTAGATACAGCATTTAACAAAGCCACAAAGGTTCAGGCGCCACATCTGCCAAATTTCAGCGCCAAGAAGTTCTCCACGCATAATATGGAACCCTTCTTCAAAGCGCCAAGACATCGATGAGAACTATAAGCTGATCTCGATGCCAGAACAAGTACTACAAGATTGATGATGGAAATTGGTTCAGATAGAAACCATGGCGAGTATGTTCTTCGGTCTAAATAGATCTAGAACAATAAATGAGACACTTATCTCCAGATTTGAACCGACGACCTCTGAAGATGACAGAATGATTTACTCGGCCCTACTGATGCAAAAGAAAGGACCAGCAGTTTTAACAGATCATCTGGCGTCTGTCTCAGCAGCACTGACCTTAGCTCGTCGTCAAGGCCTCCTAGCTTCCTGCAACTGGGGTGAGAACTTTACAGCTCCACTATATACAGCCCGTGGTCTTCCCCATCCATATTTGGCGGAGGAATAGACACAGTCTCCAAAGAAGTCACCAAGGATTCTAGAAAGTCCTGATGATTAAATCGATGGACCGCTAGCCAGTGTCATTCGACAGACTTCACAAAGATACTCAGGAGATCTAAATTCACGGGCCTACAAAGAGCTAGAGACAGGAAGATTGCCAGTTCAGGGAAGAGATTCTTTTAAATTAAGCCCATATGGCAACTATAGAGGAGGGTCAGGGCGAGGCAGGACACCCAGAGGTTCCCGCAACTATAAGCGCTGAAAGACAGGTTGGAGCGACTGGAGTCTTCCACCCCAGCCGTTCCAGTACAACCGTCACAAGTGGGTGGGCGTCTTCAACTACACTGGGAAAACTGGGGAATACTTCAAGACACCTATGTCTCCAACATTCTTCAGCGGTTTTAAGTATCCCACTACAGGCCAAGCCTCCACTAACAGTCAACCCTCACAAGTTCGAGGTAGAGGCACAACAACTACTAAAGTTAAGAGGTTACATTACTCCTAACCAAGCAGGCCATAGAAGTAATAGAGCAAGGAAACATCGAACCAGGTTTCTACTCCCCAGTTTTCCTAGTACCCAAGAAGAACTCCAAGGAGAAATACAGACTCATTTACAACATGAGCTTATTCAACAAGACTTACTTAAACAAACCACCCAGGTTCACTATGATACATCTACGCAGCTTCGGCAGATGATTAAGCCCCATGGACTACATGGGCAGTATAGATCTACAAGATGCTTATCTGCACATCCCAATACATCCCGAATCCAGGAAATACCTTCCGGTTTTACGCTAGGCGGGTTACATTACCAGTGGAAAGTACTCCCATTGAATAGCATCAGCCCCATGGTTATTCACGAGGATAGCGAAACCGATTGTTATCTATCTACATCGTCAAGGGCTACGCAGTGCGTTCTTCCTCGACGACGGGATACAAGTAGATCAAGATCCACAGCATCTCAAACTACAGTTAAACTACATCATAAAGCTACTAACACAGCTGGGATGGTTAGTAAACTTACACAAGTCGGACCTAGTACCATCGCCAAGATCTGCAATTCCTAGGAATCCGATTTATCACCAATCTCAACCGTATAGTAGTACCAGAAGACCGTTGGCTCAAGATCCAACAGATCATTCCACCAGCTCTACTGTCACGCTACCACTTCGACAATGGCAGAGCTTACTAGGTCTTCTAACATCAGCCCAAGACTTGACAGTCATAGGCAGATTACAGTTACGTCCGTTACAGGTCTTCGTCAATACACATCTCGACGACCTACAACCATTCAGTCTACCGATACATCTCAGACCTCATCTATTATGGTGGACAAAGAAATCGAATGTCTGCGAAGGGATTTGTTTAGCAGAGCAGGAATTCAAGACCCATCTATATGTAGGCGGCGTCGCTCCAAGGTTGGGGAGCTCATCTCTCCAACCGGGACGGCATCAGGGTTATGGACTCAGCTAGAAGCAAACTCCACATAAGCGCATTAGAGATGAAAGCTGTAATCAGCGCCATAAGACATTGGAGCAACATTCTACAGAATGCGCACCTGATGATACATACCGACAACTTCGACAGTGGCGTTTTATGTGAACAGACAAGGCTCAACGAGATCGCCGAACCTTTTGAATTTAACCTTTCAACTGTTGAATTAATCCAAGATCTAAATCTACATGTCAAAGCATGCCACATTCCGGAGCCAGGAATATACTAGCAGGCGCACTCTCGGCCCACATCTACCGTCGCCCGACAGAATGGATGCTCAATACAGAGATATTTGCACAGATAATCAAGCAAATAGGGCCGCTAGTAGATCTATTAAGCCACAAGGTTCAACAATCAACTACCGACATTACGTGTCACCAGTGCCAGACCCACAAGCATGGGCAACAGGCGCTCTAAGCATTTCATGGGAAGGCCTCAATGCGTCGCAGCGTTTCCGCCCCAGCAATAATACCTCTAGTATTACAGAAAATCAACCAAGCGCCAGAGCCTACAACTCACTTTGGTCGCCCTATTGGCCGGCCAGAGCGTGGTTTCCGCCTTAATACAAGATATCGGTCAACGGCACTAGAACTACCCAAGCGGCGCAAACCTGTTAATACATCCTCACACCAAACAGGTGCACAGAAACCCAGAAGTATTCAAACTTCACGTTATGGACTGTATTAAAATGTGTTTAAACAAGAGAGGATATTCTACCAGGGCTGCAAAAGCGGTCAAACTTGCCTTCACGATACTCAGCGTAACTTGTCGCGATGACAAGTGGCAAAGTTTGAAAAATTATGCAACAAACAAGGGTTTTACAGCGAGAGATGCTCGCGCATCCTCAAGTGGCAGACTATTTGTGTTACTTACGGCAAAACAAACATTTAAAAGGCTCGACATTGTCAACATATCTTGCGGCTTAGTTCTGTGATTTCTATGAGAGCGGGTGTTAAATTAACAAGAACACCAGAGTTACTGGCCTTACTACGTGCTTTCCGATTGGAGGACCAAAGCGGAAATTCCACGCCCAGCTTGGGATCTGAATGTAGTTTTCGACACCTCACAAGTGAGGATTACGAACCATTGGAATCGACAAGCGTTTGAATTTCTCTCACAGAAAACAGTCTTCCTGTTATCGCTAGCCACGGCAGCCAGAATATCTGAAATTCATGCTCTAGATTATGAGAGGATACAGTTTGATGAAAATCAAAGACAGCGCACCTGGGATTAAGATGGGATTTCATCGCTAAAATCAACTACCAGGTCAACCAGACAGGTTATTTCACATCCCTGCGCTATCCTCAATTCTTGGATCTCAAGATACATTGGACTTATCTCTATGCCCAGTCTGAGCTCTCATAATCTATTTACGTCGTTCCAAAACAAAACAAGAAGATCGCTCAGAAGATTGTTCATCCCGTTATAAGCCTACAAATCAGACAGAAGTCTCTCGTACCACCATATCAATATGGATAAGAACTGTCATTTCTGGCCCTATAAGGCAGCAGGACTGGACCCTCCAACAGCATCAAATCCCCATGAAATCAGGGCATTGGCATCCACCCTCGCCCTTCATGGTAACTGTTCATTGAATACAATTATGGAAGGATGCTTTTGGAAATCTAACATGGTGTTTGCTAATCACTATCTCAGAGATATCACCACCGAGGGCGTCTCTGGCATTCATCATTTCGGTCCTTTGGTCCTCGCTCAGCAATTGACAGTCCCTCGTGGCGTTAATATTCACCCCCACGAGATTATTAGATATATGATACATATATTCACTAGCTTATAACTCCATGGAGTTCTAGGGCTATGTACATATTTAGCTTAGGTTATTCAACCTTAAGCTCATACTGAGTTATATTCAGTGTACAGCTACGTTAGAGTAGCAGTTTATATATATATATTGATATATCAGTATATTAGTAAGGTAATACCCCACTTATAGTGTATATATCTATGGATTATTATAAGGAAATATCCTAAGTCTCAATGCCTTATGAAGTTCCATTGAAGTTATTACAATATCACTTACTTAAATCACTAATTAATCCAAAGTATTCTGTTTACCCACCACCTCTCCGATTGGATTCTACAAACAAAGAGCATGAGTCAGGATAAGGAAAAATATGTAATTTTCTGAGTAAAATTGATATTTTATACTTATCCTGACTCATGAGTGCTCCTCCATCCTCCCCACATAACACTTTGGATTTCCCTGTAAATTCAAGTGTTGGGCTCACAAAATCAGGAGAGAGTGAAGCATGAGGCCAGAGGGTGGCGACACCTGTTCACGCGCTTACGGCAGGGGAGGTAACTCGGGGGTGAGTACCAATTAGTGATTTTACATTGAAGGGAGCTTCAATTAAGGAGATACAAGTGTTCCACTATGTTCGCAAGAGGAAGGGGACAAGCAAAAGAGCATGAGTCAGGATAAGTATAAAATATCAATTTTACTCAGAAAATTACATATTTACATTTATATCTCAACTGAGTGGGATAGTGAACTACAGAAAGGCAAAAACCGAAACACATTTTATTTGGCTCTGATGGCAGTCTTGGAGTTCGCTGGGTCCTGTTCTGACCTGAACGTGATGTGTACATGTTACGTACACCATTCTTAAGAAAAATACAGATAATGGATGAGTTGGGTAAATAGTATTATGGCAGAATATTTCTAGAATTATGACGTGTGGTCAGTTCCTTCTTTGTCTTGTCTTCATTTCATGCAAGGTAGACATGCAGAAGGTGAAATTGTCAGTTGCCTGAATGGCCTCTCTTTTTGTCCAGGCAGTAGAAACATGCAGATGTCAGACAGTCCGTTCCCTAAGTCTCTTCTCTTTGTTTCAGGCAAGGGTGACATTCAGAGCAGACTGGACAACGCCATGCAGGATGTAAACGACAAGTACCTCCTTTTGGAGGAATCTGAAAAGAGCTGTGTGCGGACAGCCCTCATCGAGGAGCGGGCCAGATACTGTGTCTTCGTCAGTGCTCTCAAGCCGTTTGTTGTGAGTAGAGCCAGGACTGAATGCTGAACCCATAACAAGATTTGAACAGGGATTAATAGTTTCTAAAAATTGACTAGACTAACATGTAGTCCCAGAAATACAGTTATCTTTTTTAAAGATCTGTATCTTCAAAGTATACAATAAAACCTAAATGTGTCCAGAGCAATGATTTCCAAGAGCAGACGCAATCTAGACTTGCCAGTCGTTCTTGATGTTGGCTGGATTTATTTCTTAATGTGTTCTTTATGTTCTGGGAGACAGATAACTAACTAAAATCTCAACTTAACTTTTGACTTTTTCTGTTACTGAACAGCTTTATTTCAGACTGCATGGAGCTGCAAGGTTTCTGATACAGCTTTTAGCAATAATCACTCATCAGGCGTACCCAAACATTCTACTGTCCCAGATGATACTTTGGGGAAAATATGTGAATTGATTAAACAGATGTAATCTTATTTCAGTGAAATATCTTAATTTGGGTGATTTCAGTAATACTGTTGAATTGAACATTATTTTTCCTGAGTACAAATGTAGTAATGCCTGACTTTTGACAGTGTTATTCCTCCATGAATGTACACGCGTCTGTGTGTTTCAGGACAATGAGATCAGCCTCCTCACAGAGGTCACGCACCTCCAGGAGATCATCGACAGCTTGTGTAATCAGAGTTCCGACCCCAGTACACTGCCGCCATCTAGTGAGCAGGTGATCATGGACCTGAAGGGGGTCGACCACAGCGTGTGGAACTTTCAGGTAAAGGTAAAGACCGTCTGACAGGGAGTATTGTTTGATGTGGCTGTGGAGTCCCGTCTCAGTCAGGATGTATGGTATCAGTGGGAGGAGGACAAGTATCCAGACATTTCCACGCAAAAAGTCATTTATATATATATTGTTTCCAAATTTAAAAATGTTTTGGTCATTTTGGATGAGTCACTCCAAAAATAAGCCAGTAGACAAGAAAATAGTTCACTCTGACATTAACAGTGCCACATAGTGCAAGATTGATATGTACTCCTTTGCAAGGTAAAGATAGTGTGGAAGTGTAATTAATTCTATCTTCTTGTATCTCTAATTACCTTGTAAATATTTTGAAAAGCAACTATTGGGCCATCTCTTTGAATACCATGTCTATTCATGTCAGCTTGGCATGATATAAATGTGAAAGAATTTTTAAGAAATCTGGTAAGTTTGTCATTGATACTGTTATATAGAGATAAGTAGTATGTATTTGATCATCCTGGATGGGACATGTGTGGAGTTTTGTCTCACTTTGCAAGCTTTCTCTGCACTGTTTGATCTGTACCTGGTATTTTTCTCATTTTGATATGCCTGTCTGACTCACTTTAGTCATTAAATGCCTCTCTTCTCACCCAGCTCACTGGTTTGATACCTCTTGCTGAACCACTTAAGTCATTTGATACCCCTTTCTGACCTTTATATGCCTCTATTCCATTCCTTGTGATACCCCTCCTGACATACTTTAATGGTTTGATACCTTACTTTGGACCCAATGCTGTTATTACAAAGCAACCAACCCACTTCATCCCCACACACCCCAATCTGCCCATCCTTGGGTTTAAGACCTTGTTAGGGACCGAGATTGGTGAAGTACCACTTGATACCCCTTCTGACTGCTTCATTGGTTTGATACCTCTTTTCTGACCCAATTAGTGAATTGATACTCCCTTCTGATCCACTTCAGTTGTTTAATACCCTTTTCCTGTGTACCCACCATCTAGCCCTGTAAAGCAGCTACCACTCTGAGGATAGGGCTCCTGGAAGTGAAACCGTCTGTCATGTGTTCTAAAGGTTGACACAAAACTTTGAATGGCTGTACTGAGAATATTCACAGCCCATAAATTTCCATGTCAGTTTGAAAGAGTATGTATTAGGAGATAGACAAGCCATGTTTACAGTGCAGCACATTACATGGGGATTTGACTGAGCTGAAGAAATCTAGAACCATACATGGTTATATTTTGAGCCATGTTCTTCTCATTTGATACCTCTTACCAAAGACATGATATTATCCAGATTTTCAAGTTTTGTTTTTGTTTCTTCAGTAAATACTATTCATTTATTCTGGTGCGGTGGTGGGGAGTTAATGAGGGGGGTGGATGGGTGGGAGAGTGAGAGTGAATGCAAGGGATACTTGAAGATAATATTGACCAATGGTGGGGTTTAATCTGGTTGGTGAGTGAGTGACACTTGAAGATAATATTGACCAATGGTGGGGGTTTAATCTGGTTGATGAGTGAGTGACACTTGAAGATAATATTGACCAATGGTTGGGGTTTGATCTGGTGAGTGAGTGAGTGACACTTGAAGATAATATTGACAAATGGAATTACAGATGTAAACAACAACAACAACAACAACATAACAACTTGAAAAATGAAAAGGGACACCATGCATATCCAACCCCTAGATCTTTTGGACACTTGGTGTAATAGTGATATTTGATACAACTGTTCAGAGTGCAAGTATCACCATGACTCATAGACTAGCAAATCTGACACACTGTGTGTCGGCAGGAAGGAAGTACTTGTCATAGCGCCAAGCTGCTCAGTGAAAACGCTGTCTCTGATCCTTCTATCACTCTGTTCTGCTTCTTGTGTTCTTTGTTAACAGCTATTCCTGGGAAGAATCGACAATGGAGTTGTTAAGTGTATTATATATAGTATTCAAAAAAGGTTAAGAGACATCTGATTCTTTCATGTTACTACAGATAATCTGACCTGGCCACTTGAATAGACCACGATTTATTAATAGTCTCATTATGAAATATGTGTTTCTGAACAACTGCAGCCTTGCTGGGAATTTGGTTTTGAATTAAATAAAAAGACATTCTTTTCTTTTATCTTTAACTCCTGCGAATATGGAAATGATAATCATGATTATGGGGATAAATAATGTATATTATATATCTGCTTTAATATAATTCATTGCAAGAGAATATCAGAATTGTGCAAAGGGAGATAACTCTGTATAAATCTTTCAGTTTTCTTTGAGTTTTGAAAATCATAAACATCTGTTGATTGTTTTGCTGAAGGAGTTTGTGTGTCTTTCTTTTTTATTTTGCTTCTGAATATTTTGTCTGTTGGAAAATGACAACGTTTCTTTGTAGTCATGTAGATTGTTCTATTTTTCCAGCAGACGCCACCAAGTTCACCCAGCTCACTAGGATCGCGCAAGTCTAGCATGTGCAGCATCAGCAGCATTAACAGCTCCTCCAGCGGCTCCACGCAGTCGCACTCGCCCAGCCACCACAACGTGCGCAACCGCACAACTTCACAGGTACACCTCCAACGTTGTATTTGTCAGTGCTCGGTAGAAATTTGTCCTGTGAAATGTTTAACAATGTGATTAACTATACCATATCTTTGTTTGTTATACCATGGCGGGACTACTTTAAATTTGCATTATTCAATTCCGGTACTACACTGAAGTATATCTTGTCAGATGCGTCATTGCCGTACTGATTGCAGCAGCTGGTTTCTGACAATATTGAGAATGATGTTCGTGACATCAATCACTTGTTGGCTCGTTCAGGCTCAATTTTTTACATTCATATAACTCATGAGGTGTTAAGCAACAAACAAGCTCTATTGTACAGTAGAGAGAATAATCTTGGTTAGTCTTGTAATGTTTGATCTGTGCCTAATGGAAACCAGTCTGAATGCTTGGATCCCACCACTCCCCTACACTGTTACATGTAGTCTCTCTTACAGATCCCGAAGCATGGCTTTGATGAAATATTCATCCCAGGCTTTACTCACATCCCTGTTTGAGCTTTTCAGGAAGTTAAGATACTTGAAGGTTCCAATATAATATTGTTTATTTCAGAGACTATATTAATCTGTGTGATATGCTGTGATAACAGAGTACAATGAAACAATAACGTAACAGTCTATATTTCTGTATATATGGTAAATCATTGAGAGTTGTCACAATTTCTTATAAATATATACTAATATGATATCAGAGCAACCACTCTTGTCTTTTTGCTGTCATCAAACAATACGTTTTTTCAATGTTCAACCAAAATCCTCTTCACTGTCATTTACCCATTATCAGTTGTGCTCCTAATAGTACATTAGAATATAGGGTTGTTTACCCATTATGCCTTTTTGTAATCCCATGATCACTGTGTAGTCGAACGTTCTTATCGTAACAGACGTAAACGCTGTTATCTCCTCTTCCCATGATTCCCTCCATCACTCGATCAGTCTTTCCTGGCACTGCATATAACCTACATGATTGCTGCATGCCTTCATACCATCCAGTCAATGATCGTGTCCGCTGAATCGTGTCGCCAGCTGGGTCGATGTCCATTTATTTGCAGATGTTCATTATTTGAGCTACGACATTGAGCTACTGGTGCATGCTATATTGAATCATGTTTATGGTGTCTGCGGTTTGTGCATGTTGCAGTCAATCAAGACGCTTGCTGTATGCAGCGCTGCTGCTCATTAGGCCGTCACATCAGGAAATTTAACTTTCGTGAAATTATGGTTTCAGTTTTAAATTGAGTTTCTTGTCACTGACAGCTCTTGTAAATCTGAAATGCACAATCTTTATGACCCAATTGAAAAGGTTACATTAGCAATTTTCCACAGAAATTTAAGTCACATCTGATTCCTTGTAAGACGTGTGATTTTTACACAGTTTTTTCTTGAAGTCATTTGTCCGTTTAATATTTGGCATTTTGGGGCGATAATGGTAAGGTCCTGAGCTGTCTTGGCAATATTACCGGTTTGTACCAATTTTGGATATAAGGCGTATACGAGCAGCCGTTCTGAATACCCGACAACCATCATGCATTTGGGCATGTGTATGCTATTATTTTCTCTCTCCACACACACAGCAACCGACCGTGGGAACTCAACGCTTAATGAGCGTGTCATCACAGGACTCCGGCTTCACGTCCCAGGATACGCTGTTCTTGCGGCCCACCACTCCCCTATCCCTTAATCTGCCACAGGTAGGCTTTGTCCCCACACTTCGTCTAGACCGTACACGCCAACAGTCGGCAACTGCCTCTCAGCATCTAGACATTAGTCATAGATCTGCCTGGTTTTACCCTCGTCTTGACAGAAACCTCTCCTCCGTCAAAGTTTCACAAATGTTGAAGTTATGAATATTTGCCCCGAGTGGAGATTACCTCTTTGCAGCATGAAGAATGAAAACTGTATTTTACCTCATAAAATTGGAAATATGTTATACCGTCCATCCCTTTCCTTGAATGCCTTCACAAATGTTGAAGTAATGAATATTTGCCCCGAGGGGAGATTACCTCTTTGCAGCATGAAGAATGAAAACTGTATTTTACCTCATAAAATTGGAAATATGTTATACCGTCCATCCCTTTCCTTGAATGCCTTCACAAATGTTGAAGTAATGAATATTTGCCCCGAGGGGAGATTACCTCTTTGCAGCATGAAGAATGAAAACTGTATTTTACCTCATAAAATTGGAAATATGTTATACCGTCCATCCCTTTCCTTGAATGCATCTGGTGATATATTGATATGAATTACTGTTCGTCTGACCAGTGCCATTCAGGGCCAAACATCGTTTCCTGGTCAGCATGGCATTTCCTACAGTATATCCATGTTATCTCTGTAGAGTCAGTTAATCCCCCCCAATATTGTAAGCATGTACCTGATCATGCATGAGTAAGCACTATGGATGAATGAATGATCCCTTTGGGGTATACCGATCAGTGAAGAAAAGCAAAGAAATACTATTGTACACGCAATATGAGTCCGATGTTTCGTAGAATATATATTAATACTGCTCTTTATTGTTGTCGTACTACAATTTCAAAGCTGTATGTAAGTAGGTCTGACACAAAAACCAATCAGGTATTTCAAAACAGGAGGGGTGGTAGGGTAGCTTTGTGGTTAAAGTGTTTGCCCGTAATGCTGAAGACTTGTTTTCAATTTCCAACACGTGTGCACTGTGTGAAGCCCATTTCTGGTGTCTCCCGGTCATGATACTGCTGGAAAGCAGCGTAAAACCTTACTATCTGCAAAACATGAATTGAAATATTAGTGAAATGGAAGTAGAAACACTTGTCTCCATACAGACAGACAGTCCACATTCATGAAGCAATGTTTAATATTTCAATGTTATAAGAAGCTTCAGAACTATTTCCCTTTTCTTGCTTTCACAACATTTGTTCAACTTGCAACAATAATCATGTCATTCCATAGCATCGTCATGGCAACAGGTGCCCCTCAGATCGATCATGTCATATACTTAGTCAGATGTTAGGTCATTGCTTGCTGTGAAAAGTGCCTCAGTCATCTCAGTCATACCTACACTCATTGGTCATTTGGAAGAGTAGCTGAACTCTGGGAATGCCATGGTCACTGTCACAGACAATCGTTGAGTTGATCTCTTTTATGAGGAAAAAAATAAATACTTGTACTGTTTCTAGTGCAGGAGTGGCGGTGGAGTAGTCTAGTGGTTAAAGCGTTGGCTCGTCACGCCGAAGACCCGGGTTCGAATCCCCACATGGGTACAATGAGTGAAACCCATTTCTGCTGTCCCCCGCCGTGATATTGCTGGAATATTGCTAAAAGCGGCGTAAAACCAAACTCAGTCAGTCGGTCTAGTGCAGGATGTTTAGTTGTTTTGCACAATTGCAGACATATGTATTTATGAGGATCACATTAAGAATGACTCCTCAGCAATCCATGCTTGTCTTGAGAGGCGACTAACAGAAAAGGCGTGGTTGATGCTTGTCCTCACATCCTAGTTGAGTAGAAGGATGCTCATGATGTCAGTCACTGGATTGTCTGGTTCAGCCTCAGACATATACAGACAACTGTCATATAGCTGGAATAATGCTGAGTACAACGTTAAACAACAAACAACAGACTTTCCAAAAAAGACTTCCTCTTTAGCATTGACCACAGACTAAATATGCATTCGATAAGATGTTGCTCACAAACTATCTTTAGTCACATTTTTTTGTAATCTATCATAAAAGGAGCAATCAAACAAAATATATTGAACCAAGACTTATTCTGTTTTTGTTTATTGTGTCGGGGCGGTGGGGTAGCATAGTAGTTAAAGCGTTGGCTCGTCACGCCGAAGACCCGGGTTCGAATCTCCACACGGGTACATTGTGTGAAGCCCATTTCTGGTGTCCCCTGCCGTGATGTTGCTGGAATATTCCTAAAAGCGGCGTAAAACCAAACTCAGTCAGTCAGTCAGTTTATTGTGGCTTCTGAATGTAACTAAACATAAATAAGTTGCTGATCACCCCGGAGAGTAAAACCAGGTTTCTAGTGCATTTTACTCAGCTTCCAATAGAATGTTTTTAACTACGTAGACACTAGGCATTGGTATGTCAAATATGGCAGGACATGCAGTGTTTGAAATTTTGACAGGTCTTCGGGGGTCCTTGAAGTTTGCTCAGTAAGTGTTTGAATCTAGGGTCTTTTTGAGTTACGGCAAGGACCCTGGAATTTCATGTTTAATTTCGAACACTGTCTTGCATTGTCTAGGTGTATCAACAGTAAGCTTGCACACCATCACCGAACTATCAGATGATTTTGTGGGTGTAAGTGTTGTGTGTCCAGCTTGCATTTTACCATCACCTGCCCACCCTCAGTGTTGTGCCTTTTAACCTCTAATTGCAGCTTGCTGCTTCTTAATGCTTCAAGTACCTTGAATCTGTAACGTGCATCGAGTGCATTGAGACAGACAAACTGAGACAGACCTTGGTATTTGGTTGACGGATTTTGATTTACGGTCGAAAAAATTAGTCAAAAGTTTGATTTGATTTGGTTCCTTTACTTGATAAGAAAATAAAGAAAAATGATTTATGGTTGCAAATTTTTTACTTGCAATCACATAAATATCTCTGATAATTTTGGTAAAAGAAGTTTTTACAGTCATTTGACTGGGTTACATTTGCAGTGTGCATTCATATTCATATTTACAGTCATTTTTGAAAAAAAAAAAGCTTTTCATTCTGATATTTTCTGTCAGTTTTTAAGTTCAGTTAATCCGTAAACCAAGCCAAAAACGAATAATAAAACCTTGTGTTAAGATTAAGTTACAAATGTTGTGAGATGGTAATATATTGTTATTAGCTTACCTGGCTTTAACATCATACTCATATGTAACGTCACCCAGTCAGCTGAAGACAGCATCTCGCCTTAGGAGAATCAAAATATGGATCTGAAGTCTTGAGTCTTTTGTATTAAAACAATTATTACTTTTTCAAGTTTTGATATGTTTGTATATAGTTAATATTGTAATAATTTGTTGACAAGAAAGACAACTATTTTCAGAACTCGGACAAGGACAGTACTAGTACTGGTACCCCTGACGTTGACTCCACCCCAACCACACCCTCAGAACACTACCCCGCTACCCCGTCTGCCAGCTCCACATGGAACAACTGGCCTAATGCCCCCAACAGCGCGCTCAGAAGGGAGATGACTTCCGCCCACACACGATTTCGTCTGCCTATGAAAAGTCACATCACAATCGCCCAGCTCTGAAAGCGGAACTTTTCCAACCTCCAGCACCGGAGATGTTAGAGAAGCTGAAGGAGGCCGATTCCCGTGGAGCTCAGGGCGGAGCTAAACATGGACGTCCACACAGTACTGTGAGTGCGTCGCCATACTCGCGACCGTCTGCTACAATCAACAAGATGCAGCCAGTCCTCCCACCGCTTGGGCCCAAACCCAAACCCAAGGCTGTGCCACCTCCTATGGTGCCTCATACAGGTGAGTTTTGTAGGATGACTTCATTTGCCATATTGAGTTACGTCCTTTAGCCATGCCTGGGTTTGCTTGTTTGATGAATGCAGTCATAAGATAATTTGCAGTATTATTAGTTTCGTGGAAAACTTTTCAAGGAATAATTTAGATTTCTGTTTATTATAACCAAATTTATAAAGGTGAAATCTGCTTTAAAAAAGCAGGGGCAGTCGGGTAGCCTAGTGGTTAAACCGTTCATTCGTCACGCCGAAGACCTGTGTTCGATTCCTCACATTGGTACAATTTGTGAAGCCCATTTCTAGTGTCCCCTGACGTGATATTGCTTGAATATTTCTAAAAGCGGCGTAAAACTAAACTCACTCACTCATTCACTCACTCACTCAAAAAAGCAATGTTGATAAATGTATAAATATTTTGTTGTCATCAATAGTGTGGGTTGCTCTGTATACATATATTTTTGTAGGCTCTAAATTAGTGGAGTTTTCAATGTATGAATGTTTTGAATGCTTCACAAAGAGTGTGTGTTCGATGTACATGAGTGGTATGCTTCACGGAGCTGTGGTTCACAGGGTACTAATGTTTTGCTCTCTTCAATAGAGGGAGATGTGTGTGTGTGTCTGCACCAGTACTTGGATAATTGCGTGTGTTACATTATTTTGTGGGTATCCTGGTTTCAGTTTCCCAATCGCCGATCTACGCAAACGCCGCTGAGATAGCTCAGATGGCTGCTGATAAGAAGAAGGACGTGGAGCCAGTGATCGTCCACTCCCCCGACAGCGACACATCGTCCTCGCCCCCAACCCCATCTAATAATGCTGCTGCACAGGTAACGACAGGACTCCGGGGGCTCCAGCTGGCCATGTCATGGTCACATCATCACTCCTGTAGCTGACTCATACAAGACTTAACCACTGGGCTTCTGTGGACATCACCAAGGGGGACAACTCTTACAGTCTAAGGGCGATAACTCTTACAGTCTGAGGGGATAACTCTTACAGTCTGAGGGGATAACTCTTACAATCCAAGGGGGATAACTCTTACAGTCCAAGGGGGATAACTCTTACAATTCTGTTTTACTTGTCATCAAAGTTTCCATTTCATCCTGTGCTGTTATATATTGTTATCTTGGTGCTGTTTGTATCATAGATCCATGTTTGATAAAGGGAGATAAGATTTCTTAGAGATCTAATTGCAGCAGACTAAACCCAGGCCCCTTGTTCAACAAAGCCATCTTATGCCTGAAATAATTGTAATTCATATATTTTATCTCTATAGGTAATGTTATAGTTCTAAGATTGATTTTGGGACAGATCCCTGGATATATGACTGGGGAAAGAAAATTATTTGAGTTGAAATGTGTCAGTTGTTTCTGTCATATATTATGAACTGATATTTCAATTTCCTTTATTCAAAAACTAGAAACGTCTTGGAAGAACCCACAATATATTTTCTTGTTTTAAATTTAGTCAGTGTCAATATATTTGTTCAGTGTACACTTGTAATTGAATCCTAATAGGTAGGTAGATAAGGGTTTCGGCCGACTTTGGGCCTTAAAAGGCCTGTATGCGCCCTGAATCCTGATATGGTGTAACATATTGTTGTCTCCCTTGGTGACATTCACAACTCTATGAAACTGTCTCGCCATTATATGTGACTAATTCTTTAATGATTGACATGCTGATTGCTAACACTGAAACCAGTTGTAGAGCATGCTCTCTCAATCAAGCAAGCTGGAACTTTCCTCTTTGTTTGACATCATTTTCTTTCAAACTTTGCTCTTCTGGAAACAGCATTTGATGCTTGTTTGATCTACTTCTATATTCACATGCTACTAAGACAAAGATAAAAAGTTTGATTTTTTAAGATTATTTTTTAAAGAGATATGTTTTGAACATTGAGGTGGAGCTATTTACTATTACAAAAGGTGAATATGGAAGTGATCGGAGACATTATTTGGACCCTTTCCTTTATGCTGAAGTAGTACCAGGTCAAGTTCTTAACATTTTCTGATATTTGGCATTCCTGTTACATAAGTCTTCTCACTGATGATTTTTTCTCACTAATTATCAAAATTGGCAGAAACAAAGTATGAAAATTTAGAATTAAAAAGAGAAGTGTAAACATTGAGAAAGTTTTATCGTAATTGGTCTCCACCGGAAATTCTGTTCAAATGAATGCTTTGCTTATACTTAGTTGCAAGTCTTGTGTTTATGCTGTGTTTTAACAATTTATGTAGAGCCTATGACTGCTTAGAACGCTGGAACCCTGAAGCCAACCCAATCATAAATGGGAACTACTGATTAATTCAGACTTTGGCTGATTCTTTTGATCAGTATTCTCAACCAAAACTTGAGTGATTAGAGTCAGTGGGGGTAGTGCAGCGGTTAAAGTGTTCACTTGCGAACATTGGTTTGAATCCCTCTGTGGTTGTCTTCTTGCTCAAGGGTTTGTCCTCCTTTCTAAGCAGTAATATGTAGTCATACTTTCTTGTCGGACACACATCCCTGATTCACTTGATCCTAGGTCTCTCCTTCAGCCGTCTCTCGACATTTTAGCAATTGTGGTTGATTTCCTGGAAGATTACAGGGAAGCCATTAGTGTGAGAGTACAACTTGTAGTGTCTTCATAGCCTTGTTGTTGGACCCGTTACAACTTAAAGAACTTTAAGTTTCAACTTTGTCAGTATAAGTTAGGTGCCTTGATGAACGGAATAAATTATGTCTGCTGCCCGTGTTTTATCCGAAAATATGTTAAAAGATGGTACATATTTCATTGCATTTGGCTCAAGGGTATAAGTGATTGAGTTTAGTTTTACGCCGCACTCAGCAACATTCCAGCTATATGGCTGCAGTGTGTAAATAATTGAGTCTGGACTAGACAATCCATTGATCAATAGCATGAGCATTGATCTACGCAATTGGGATATGATGACTCCAAGGGATAAAACAAGGATTGCTTAGCTTAGAGTCAATATTGAAAGCCGATAGCTGCCATGGCAATATAAGTACACAAAAGCTGTCTTCTCAAACTAATCTTAACATCGTGTGATCTGGGACAATGTTCGCCAAATCAAAATTATTCAGGAGACCAATATATCTACTTCTTGGGATTGAAATACAAACAATTTTTGTTAATTCAATCACAGTGGGTGTCCGACAGCAAAGTTCTCTTTTTAACACACTCTCTATAGGTTGAACATGTCTATGTTGAATTACCAACATGTTTTAGTTTATTTTCGAGCTATCTTCTTGGTTTGACCTCTGACCTTTGACCTCTTGCTCCTCTGAACAGCCGTCCCTGACTCAATCAGATATGTTGGACCTTCAGGAGGCCATCAAGTCACTTGATAGCTGCACCGCAGCCTTAAATGTTGAATATGATAGCGACGAGGATGATGTACATAAGGCAAGATTGATTGACGTCTGTCGCCATCGCGTGTGAAAAGTGTGCGCTCCAGATAGATTTGCTTCTGTGGTGTCAAGGTTTTTGGATATTGCACTTTTTTCTGGCACTTTTGGATTCTTTGATTCGATTCAATTTGTAGTAAAAATTGTTTTAAATTGTTGTCTTTTTGTAACAGTCTGTGATAAATGGTTTCTGGATTAGAAAAGAATAACGAAGTATGTTAGTGCAGCATCTGTAGTATGTCTTGTGGAATTTTTGTGAATTGTGAAGTTTTCCGTATGTTAATTTCTTTAGACTACTTCTTCGTTGATCTTTAAAAAAAAAAAAAAAAATTATTGTTTCCTGATACTTGAAATAGAAGTTCTTTGAAAAGGGAGAAATTTTCAGTGTTTGTAGATGCCGAAGTATGGAAAGAAAACTTAAATTATTTCGTTTCTCCTTTAGACTAGAAACGGAAGCCCAGACAGCCTGGTAGGACATTTTTCACAATAAGATCAAGCAAAGATGCTTCTCTTCCATCTGCACCTGTTTTTCAAGAGTCACTATCTCAGAACCATCTGCCAAAAATTTACTAGTTCTATTTATTTACAATATTTATGGGCATCTTAAATTGTCACAGTTCAAGGAGTAAAGTAAATTATTGTCACTTTGGGCAGAGACCATATACCGGTATATGGTCTCTGCTTTGGGTGGTGTATCAATAATGTTCAACTATAAAATTATAAAACCATTTAATTTTTTATATCACAACATTCATATTATTATGAAGTATTTGTGTTTATACCTTTACTTGAAACAATTATCCTGCCTATTCAGTAATAGTGAGGACAAGTTAATGTAAATTGGAATACTTCCCCAATTACCTCCCCTGCTTTTACACCTTAACCCATTTTAAGTAAAGTTTGTTGTTTCCGGGCACAACATGAGAAATATGACACATGTTCACTCACGCTTTGATTGTGTAATGCTTTTTGCTTTTGTTTCTGCACAACACAGGGCCAAGCTTGTCAGTAATAATTGGAAAATAACAGGGAACTAATATAACTAATTAGATCCTCTTAGGAATAACTAAAACTTGTGTCTGTAGTGTTAATGGTCAATATTGTAGTTTCATTTTCATGTGCTAAGTTAGCAAATATTGTGTAGTTAAGAAAGTAACTAATGTTTGTCCAGTGTCAGTGAATTCTAGTTTCCTTGTTCAATCTTGTGCATCATGGTCTCAAAAGAATGTTGACATTTCGACAACTAACAATTTTCTTAAAGAATGTCTGTGTTTGTGCATGAACATGTTTATCAGTTCTTCATTGATACTGAAACAAAAGTCTAGATCAAGTAATTAACGTTTTAGATTTGTAAATGTGTCTTTGTAAAAAAATGTATCAAATGTATTTGTCCAACACTCTGTAAGTGCTTCATTTTATTCTTAAATATAAACTGAATCATATAAATTTCTTAAGTTTAGATAATTTAATGCTTGAAAAATTCGTAACAGATTTATTAAGTATTTTCCTGTTCACTGATAAATTACATGATATATGCATTAATAAATATTAATGGAAATAGTCAGTTTAAGTCATGAAATTAATGCAAATATGAAATTTGTATAATTAATAGGAATTCCCCTTCCGTTAATAAAGCCACAATGTCAGTTTAAAAGCAGTGCTTCTCATAAACTGTGTGCAATGACAAGCCAGTCAGTGGTTTGTGAGTTCACAGGAGCAAAAAACATTATATTTTAGAATGCATAAACACTTTAAGATGTTTATAGAAAAACATGTGCAACTGAAGTACAGAAGTGCTGACAATTTGACAAAAGTTCCTTCGTTTGATAATGATTTCTTTGAGATCAATGAAGCAACTGAAAAATTGAAGGTAGGGCTTTTCACATTCATTTCATGACTTTGCTGCTCTTAGCAGCCTCTCTAGCGTTAACTTGTGGCTCGTGACTGACTGTTTTCAGCTGTTGCTTTATTGTCGACTTGTATCTTCCAGCAACAAATGCAGCAGAATTCCCTGGAGTTAGCCGAGGCGATACGGGAATTGGAGGCGAGTACCGCAGCTCTGGAATGTACGTACGACACCCAGAGCCACACCAGCCACACATCGCTACAGTGCTCCAGTGGCTACGGCACCATGAACAGTACGCCGTCAGGATCAGAGGACACCATAGCCTCAGGAGGTAGGCAGTTGCCGTGGTTACAAAGTGATGTTGTCGGAGTGAAGTGATTAGCAAACTGTTACACTTTTTGATGAGATAAACATAAAGGTTTCATTTTACGAAATTTACCAAGTCATTCCTTTCAAAGGCATCTTTGGGTTTAGAATTCGAAATGTTTATAAAATGTTTTGATTATGATAATTTAATGTTCAGCAGGTGCTTTGTTTTTTAAATATATCATTTTACCAATTGGTCTGCAGTTCAGTTAAGCTATACAGAAAGTGTAACAACTTAGTACTGAGTTATCCCCCCTTGTTTTGAATATCAGTGTTCGGTCAATAGTTATCCCCATTTGCTTCAATGAGATTCCATTCTCATCCCTCGTGTTGAAGTTGTTGATTGACGTTCACTGTGCCATGTAGACAGAATGCATGTTGTGGGATGATCAAGTTTTTTTTATTGTTCATTTTCACGGATATGTCAAGCATATAGCATGTCTGCAAATATTTTGTTTCAAGGGAATATTATTTTTCTCATGAATGCCAGGTATGTCTGCATGCAGTTCACATTTTCATAAAAAAATATTCTCATTTTGGAAGACGTGGTTGTTATGGATCATAATTTTTGGCGTCCAGACACCGACTTCAAAACGTACTGAATGATTTTTAAAAAATGTGTTTCAAGAGAATGTTTCAACATATTTAAGGAGCTAGCTTATATCATTTTGCCATTGAAACAAATGGATTACTTAAACAAATATACTTGGATTTCAAAACTTCTTGTTTTAATGGTATAAAAGATAGGAAATAATATTTTTTGCATCAACATTGTTGGTTTTAAACATACTGATTGATTTTCAAAAACCTTGGTTTGAACAATGGTGTAATAAACACAAAAATTGCTTTAAAATATTGATAGATTTTCAAAACCTTTGGACCCCAAAAAGGTCTCAGAAACAAGTCAAAACAGTCAGTGTTAGATCAAAGGTCACCTTCCATGACTGGGATGATAAGTATGCAATATGCAAAAGGTTAAGTTCCTGTAAATAAATCTCCAGTTGGATACTCTCAGAAATATACTCCCTGCAGTTTATGAAACCTTGATCAACTGCCCTTGCATGTTTGACTGTTGTTTGATATTACTTGTAGCATGTGATTGTGATATTTATGAATGTATCCACATCAATTTTTTGGTCTTGCAGTGGTAGGCAACTGGAGTTTATTTTCTTGTCTCCGTGATAAGTTTGGTATGTGTTTTGTTTATTATAAATACACGATTATGCTGTGTTACTTGCTGAGAGAAGAATTAGACACTCCCAGGAATCTGGTATTGGGGTGCTTTTAAATTTGAAAGTTAGATATCACATGAAGAATGTGCACCTAGGTTGGTGTCCTATGATATGAGTATGGAGGAGATGGGTTTTGCCTAGTGATTAAAGCCTTTACCAAAGTCCCAGGTTCAATTCCTAACTACATGAAACCCCAGAATTTCTCAAGGATACTTGACTTAGTGTCTCTGGTAGGAATAATTTGTTTAAAATCAATATTTGTTCCAAAATAAAAAATTTCAAGTTCTTTTCTGAAATTTCAACGTTTTTTTAGATGGCATTAATGCGGAAATATACAACTAAGCTTTAATAACTGTTCTGTTGATAGGTCCTGTTATGAGTGAAATCCACAAAGCTGAAAAATTAGTGATAAGTTGTATGTATTAACATGAATTTAGAGTGAGTGAGTATGGTTCTATGCTGCTTTTAGCAATATTCCAGCAATATCACAGCGGGGGACGCTAGAAATGGGCTTCACACATTGTACCCATGTCTAGAATCGAATCCAGGCCCCGATTTCTCGAAACAAACTTAAGTTTTTACTCAAATTTCAATCTGTATTTTTAACTCAACTGCACTTATAAAATGAAAAAGCCCAAATAACTTAAGTAATCTATCCACAAAACTCAAATTGTCTACTATGTTTGAGTTTAATGTCGATTTCAGTTCATTCTGGAAAATGGATTTTTCTCAAATTTGAGTAAAAGCTCTAACTTAAGTCAAAACTCAGACTTAAGTTTGTTTCGAGCAATTGCGGCCAGGTCTTCAGTGTGACGAGGGAGCATGTTAATCACTAGGCTACCCCACCGCCCCACATGATTTCAGAAGTACTTTACTTGTGTATCCATGTTAAGATAGTCACCACAAACACTGGTTTCTTGGGATGTGTCGCTCTCTCAGCAAGTACTGCTACATTTCTTCACTGTTGCATCGTGCCTGTCTGTCATGTTTTGTTTTTTGCTATGTTTGCAGATTTTCAAATAGCTCCTACAGGCGTCGTGGAAACTGATCACGAGAAATATTACACGATTCCGCGCAGTCGGGACGTGTATACTGCCTATCGTAGTGTATTGCAACCCAAACGCCCTGCGTCAACAGCAGGTGTGTGTCATTGTAAAGGACCATATGTATACAATTCTAGCATGGAGCGGTCTGTAGTTCTGCTCCAAAATGCCCGTTGAGATTCGTGTAAGAATAGGTCCCAGTACAACATGCTATTGGAGTGACCACTGAGGATTGGGTGGTCACTATCATTTGGCTGAATGTGTGTCTTTGACCCAAAGGCCCTTGTGTCGTTGCTGTAATATTTCTGGATCAGTGAATAAAAATGCAAAGATATTTGTTTATCTGGAAATATTGAAGCAACATACCCTTGCCTGATGAAAGGCATGGATCTGTGATCATTATCTTGAGCATCAGTTTGCCTGCCCAAGATTTAAAAACCTGTGAAGATCCGGGTAAGAATTGGTTTTCAGTAACACAGTTCAATGCAATTGGGATATGATGACATGTGTCAATCAAGTCAGCGAGCCTGACCACCCGATCCTGTTGATTGCCTCTTATGACAAGCATGGGTTACTGAAGACCCATTCTAATCCGGATATTCACGGGTCACAAATGCTGAATATACTCCATGACCCGACTTAACAGTTCGTGTAACTTCGTGTTTCTAGAGGGCCAGTTAACAGAATTCAGATATGGCTGAATTGATGGCTGCTCGTCAGATAAAATTAATGCTTTGATAAGTCCTGTTTTTCATTTTTTGAGTGTCTCTGGTTTAAGCTTATATACTTTTGGAAGACTGAGAAAGTGGGAGGGGAATTCTGATGATAAATTTATTTATTGAGTTACCTCCCTTGGCACTTCCTGAAGCAGTGATCATTGGTTAATCGGCCCTGCTTGTTTCTTGGTTTGGATGCACCAAACTCATGTTCATGAGACTTAAGTGAGGTGGTAATATCAATCATCTGCATTGCTTTGGGCTGTAACGGTATTGACATCCTATGGCATGACTGAAATACTGTTGAAAGTTGCTTTAAACCCAAAATACTGTAAATACATGTACAAACTGAAGCTGATACCTTCCTGCCACTAACACCTCGAACCAGCATGCTTTGTGTCAACTAACATGGCCATTCCGTGCAGCTTGAGTCTAAACCTGACATCCCATCGTTCCTTCTGCTGCTTCCTGTGTAATGAGCATCCATGTTGTAACAGATGGATAATGTACTGATGTTGAATCACTTTTCACTTGTAATAAATAATTAAATTATTTGCGATTCTTTATTGCTTGTTCAGAATACTGTATCATTGAGATTGATAGTCGTAAGGTTTTTAATAATATTGTGATGTGTAACCTTTTTCTTCATCTGATTTTCTCCTTTCCGCTGCAGGCATCCCGACCCCAACAACCAACAACAGTCTTTCACGCCGCACACTTCTGCCAACAGCGCCAGGCCCCCTCCCCCTGTGAGGAGGACAGTATCTGTAACAGGCGCATCCCCAGCAGCCCAGAAGGTCCGTGCTTCGCCCCCAAGGAGATATCTGGGCCTCCTCAGGGCCCAGTTATGCAGCATAAGCGGATTCCCAGCGGGGATAAGCACTCTGATGGCCCGTATGCTGAACTGCAACTAATCCAGCAGAGTATACATGATACTAAATTGAGACAACAACAGCAACGACAAGGTCATCCTCATCCTCAAGGACACTCAAGTGGACACCCACAAGGTCATGGTCATCCTCAAGGTCATGGCCATCCTCAAGGTCATGGCCATCCTCAAGGTCACCCACAAGGCCATGGCCCAGGTCATCCACCAGGATATTCTCAAGGTCATGGCCCAGGGCAACATCAAGGACATGGTCCAGGGCAACATCAAGGACATCCTCAAGGTCATGGCCCAGGGCACCTTCAAGGACATCAAGGTCATGGACAAGGGCACCCGCAAGGACATCCTGCATCACCCCACAACCACCATCAACAGAGACGTATCCCACAACATCACCGGCCACAGCAGCAGGCGCCGCACCAACAGCACAGTGGAGGGTCAGCTTCGCCTAGCAGAGCGGCCCCAGGAAGTAGTCCCCACTATGCAGAGCCTCACATTATACTGGAGCAAACACACGGACATGCCAATGTTATACAAAGCCTGACACGCAAGTTTTCCGAGTCGGTGGCAGGGGCGCCGACCACAAACGATGACCTTCCGCTGCCTCCCACTGAGGAGGAGCTGCAGGAGATGGAGCAGATCTACAGTAAAGCCCCTCCTCCTCCCCGTGCACCTACTCAAGACTCACTTGTGTTAGAACTCAAACGAAGGGTTGCTGATAGTTCTGAAGTTTAATACATTGTGGCTTTTTGAAACTGTTGTTTTGCTGGAACCATTGCAGTTTGTTACTTTGATGAGTAATGTACGTGTGATTTGTCAGATGTTTTCTTGAGATGTACATTTGGGCTCTCTCAACGTTCTCAAGGTTTTGCAGGCGGTAGTTGGGTGCAGTTAAGCATGATGAGCTTTGGCTGTGTGACAATGCTTTGCATCTTGTGAAGCAGGATTTATTCAACACTGTGTCAAGATTGATGAAATGTTGCATGGAATTTTTACTTTTGAAACGAAGAAATATAACTGTTGACAAACAGGAAAAATGTAAGTGTTGGCATCAAAGAAGTGATGTTACCATGGTAACTAATTGCAGTGGAGTTAGCGCTATTTTCCCAAGAACTATTTCCACCAGCTGGTGAGCTCGTCTAGCAGCAGTTGTATGCAGTCTTTCAATGGATCTAGTGTTCCCTGGGTATAGGAGCGATAGCAGTTGTGGAGGTGGCCATTTTCCATGATCCTGCAGGTTTCCGTGGAATTACGCCAGTTTTGTCGATCTGGAGCAATATACTGCTTTCAAGACGAGGTTACCCATGGAGAAGATGTTCCAGGTCCTGTGATCAGTGTCTTTGCTGTACAGATGATTCTTACAAGTGTCAGATGTAGTAACGGAAGCAGTGTAACCTGCTGCTGCCTTGAAAATACTCTTGTGATATTCAAGGGGAACAATGCTGGGATGCTGAAGATGTTTTAGCGCAGTTATTTTAAATTTCAGATGACTTCTTATCGAATTTTACCATACTGCTTTTGTACAATGCTCTTACTCTTATCGCCAAGTCACTTTAGTTGATTTATTTGTTAACTTTTTTATTTAAGCAGATCTTTGTCCAGTTGTTGTAGAGGTTCTGTTATGTTTTAGAAGCATTTTTAATAAAGACCTATATGCACGTAGAGAATTATGCCGTTGTATTCAGGTTAAGATGACTATGTTCAATAGACAATTTATTTACGACTGGACTTGTGTTAATTGCAATAATCATGTGAATTGAGATTTCTCCTCCATCTTCTTCACCTGAATGATTCAGCATCTCCATCTGTATCAGTGGTACAGTAGTTATTTCATGTTATTTTCAAAGGTGCTTTTGAACGCAATATGTAGTCACGTGATCTCAATGTATCTTCGATAGTAGGAATCTTCTCGCATGGACTCAAGAACTGCTGTTTGTCAACTTCGCATGAAAGTGTTTATGCATGAAAAGTTGCAGACTTGTTTCTGAAGGAAATATTTTCGATCTCAATGTACTGGCGAAATCACATTAACTTTCTCAAATTGTGTTTTCTCAAGAGTGGAGAAATTTGACTTCTTTGATAAAAGCCAATTTATGATCATATGTATCAAAATAAGTTTGAAATTGTGATATGTATGTTTCAAAAAAGGCAAAATATGTTTTTGCTGCGTTGTTCTGGCTTGTCCTTCCTTCAGTGAAACTGCGATTCTGGTCTCCATGATCCCTTTGTAATATGACAGTACACACAACAGTATCAAGTCTACTATTCCAGTGTCTGCTCAGACGACCTTTATGTACATCGATCATGTGAAGCGGTGAATAATATGCAATAATTACTTGTAATAATACCAGCAATTATGCAAGTTTCAACACTGTGTTGATTTCCGTTTTTTTGCGGAATTTTCCAGAATTTGTTTCTTTTCCCCCAAAATGCTTGATACATTAAAAATAGCACAGGCTGCATAAACCAAATGAGATTATTAATGACTGGTTTTCATATATTGTAAAAATATAAAAATAGCAAATCTGTGCTGTCATAACTGTATGAATTTAAGAATATATCATTTCATCCCGACATAATTCGAAGGCAGAGAATTTATGCAGCTTGTACGTGCTATTTTTGCAGTGTCTGTCAGTTTGATTTTGTCAAATGATACGTTCATAATGTTTCCTGTTTTCATTTTGTGGTGTATTTTGTGCAGTTTGTTGTCAGTATATAGTGCTGTGTTTGAATTAAAATGTTTTCACGCAGTCTTATGTTCAGCTACCAGGATTTTCTGTTTAAATTAAAACTGTTTTCTCCACTTCACTTTCTTGTCATTGTAGGGCATTACTTCCCCAGTATAATGGCTGTTAAGGCTCCAATAAAATATGTATTTCCATATTCCAATCCATCCCAATAGTGCGTAGGTAGTTCAGGTTTCATTTTTTTTTCATCTTTATGAAATAATTTGGTGAATGTCCTGCTCCACTAACACTTTCTTAGTGTCCCCAAAGGTTTACTATGAAACTACTCCTATGCCTTAAACAGACTTGTGATAGTCAGAGTGCTACGATCATGTTGTGTATCAGATTTTTTTAATGTCTGTTGCCGTTGTGAAACAAACATATTTTTTTTTAAATTTCAGGCAATATAGTCGTGGAAAAACTCAACACAGTTTTATGGTCAGGGGTTCCTTGTCTGGGTTACTTGGAAAATGGAAACATATCAGCAGGAGCCTTAACAATTTACTAAGCAGAGTAATTAAACCAAATGTTTGTGTGAAAGTATTCTCAGAAACCAGACGCATTTTGTATCAGTTGCAGTCTCTGTACTACCAATCATGTGTGTAACTAACTAAATGGGAAAGGACTCTTGATAATCAGTTAAACATTTTAATCAGAAATTACAGGTAAATAATCACACACTTACTGATCTGTATACAACTATTAGAGGTGTTTACGTGATCAATTCATACTCAGATACCACTGGGAAGACAGCACTGCTCTGACACCTTTAATGTTTTAATTTCGTTTAGGAATGGAGAAGATCCGATCTCTGCAGTGACAATAAGGCACTTGATGCACTCCTTAATGTAAGCAAGAAATTTTGTAATTTTTCTGGATTTACATGTTTAAAGGCTGTTACGCTGTATAATTTGGAATTGATCCTTATTTGTCGTTTAGCAATGTCTCATGCAGTGTGGCACCAGAAGTATCAGGTTTATTTATTAATAATCAAAGAATCATGCAGATATACAGGTCAATGGCAGGTTTAGATTACCATTAAATATAATACACTGTGGAAAATGCAGGGATAGAAATTAGCTGAAGTCTGTAAATGTTAAAGGTATCCTTTATCAAGTATCGAGTTTCAAACATTTTGGGAGGTGTTGCTATAAATGTGAACTCTGTTTGAGCTGTTTCTTTGTTAATTTCTATCCCTGACTAAGGTGTTTTATATCCTGCTAGCTACAACTAATTACAAATGTATATTACTAACTTAAATAGATCAGTCTTACCATATTACAAGTTTGATAGGACAAATCCTGGCTTGGGCAGTGTTTTGTGTTGTCAGGACCAAGGAGATTTAATTCCAATAAGCTTTGAAAATGCCAACGCCATTCTACCTTAAACAGCTATGACATGTATTGTACTATATGACTGAGAATTTTGATTTTATCATATTTATGAACCTCGGGGGAATAGTTTCCCCCAATTCAACACCTACATCCATGATTATGGGTTATTTTGTAAATAATTATGACTCTTTTTCCCCTGTTGTAAATATGTGTATTTACTCCATGTTGTTCATGTGGCCACTTTTGATGATGGCGATGCTTGGATTTCTTAGAAGTAAGAGATGTATCTGCACTGTCACTGAACACGAAAATATTAAGCTGCAATTTTGAATTTGGAAATTAAATGTGAAAACGATGGTGGAATAATAGTTTGGTATTGTACAAAATTTTGCTATTTGTTCAATGGCAGTACAGAGTACATCTTCCAAGTTTTGGGCTAGTTTTCACAACCATACGCTTTGTACAAATTGCAGCCTGCCCTGAAGTTAAATGCATGATGTAGAGCTCAGGCTAGAAGCTGTAGCGAGCTATGTCAGCTCCATACAGGGTGCTCCTCAACAACTCCACACACAGCTGATAAGGATACCAATCGTTTAAGAGCAGGGTGTTACCAGTAATCACATTTGTTCAAATTGACATTTACACAGTTCAGAACTACTGCATTTATAAGTTTTGCATTGACTAGTTTGACACATGGTGTTGACAAACTGGTAAAAGAACTATTTAATAGCATGGTTTCATGAATTTGTATTGAATTCTTTACTTACACCTATTCATTTATCGCAAACTGTTACAGTGCACTGTAACCAAGTAACAGATTACTGTAACAGGCTTCCATAAATAACAGGATTTTTGTTTGCTCTTTAGTTTGACATGGAATAATATCTCCATCTCAACACAGATTGAACTAGATGAAAACTTGGTTCTCACACAATCAGATATACACTTGGAAAATATGTCAGCTGCCTGTTTTCTGAAGTAAAACATGGCACAGTCTTAATATTTTTGTTTTTTGTTTGTCAAGTAGCTAAGTATAATTCTTCAGTATAATGTTATTGAAGCATTTTCTCAGAACCAATTTTGTATAATCAAGTTTCAAACTGTTTTGTTTAAGCATCAAGTTTCAAACTAGTTTGTGTAGTACTCCGTAGCCTGTGTGGGGGTGTTAAGCGCTGCCCTAGTGCGTGCATGTACAATGTCGGTACCTGCAACAGTGCTGCACTAACCCTGGGGTTCACGCACTCACATGTTGTACAAGTTTTAAGATCATAATAAAAATCTGATGAGTGCTACTATGCATTAGGAGTTCTGTTGTTTTTATGTGTGATATTGTTGGACAAGATATGGAATACAAGTAATGACACTTAGATTGTGACTTTATGTAAGATACATCAGCTGGAATATCCATACAAGTCTGTCTTTGGTACATCAGTATGACAGTCTGTTACCCATGTGATCAGAAGTCTAATCCATGACATACAATC